CTGGTTTATTTTCTGTTACAAGAGAAGTGGCATTGCGCAATGGGAACGTCTCCTTCGACCTTTGTCACTCGATCGATCGAAATCACTTCGCTGCACATCGGACACCGCTCTTCGTATTCGATCAACCTGTAACGAAGCACAGTACTTCCTCAAATGTGCTGAAAGTCACCGAGACCCGATTACTTCGTGAACTCCGTGAAAATCGCCGCAAACTTGCACGATGGACAAAAACACAGGTCATCCTTCAGAGTATGGCTTCCCTGAAATGATTAAGTGATGTTCAGGTTACATCAGTATCGTGTGCACGTTGTTGTATGAAGTTCTGTTTCATATGTTGCAAATAAAACTTTTATTTATAAGCACTGAGCCGAAATTTACAAGGATTGCACTTGAGCTCGATTACCGTAGTTTGGTCGTTGTCTATGCTTACAATGCGTTCAGCACGACTGGCCCAAAACCCGGCAATGTCATAGTAGTAAATCGCTTTTAAGTGCGTATTTTACAGCACTAATAACAACGTTGGTGATAGTGTCTCCGCATTTATTTTTACATGATGTCTACTGAAGTTGGGGCTGCAAATCAACTTCCTTGTTGAATAGAATTTACATATGGAGAAAACCTCTTGAAGTATTTTTGCGATGAAGAACATGCATTATCTAGAAGACACCTCAATTGGTGTCATGGAAATTACAGTCATTACGCATAACTTCATTCCTCAATATCACTTGAATCACGTGGACCGACCGGTAATCGGCTCGCGGCATTCCCGGCCCCCGGTATAACCTTCCTACCGTCATTGTGGATGACCACGGGCTGGTGCTACCAACCAGCTATCATTGTCGACCATCGCCCTTTGGTGATCCGAGTTACGAACCCGACCTGTTGTAGCTTTTCCTATTGCCTTCGACAACAGTGTCCTTCGTTCCTGTCTGCTTTCTCATCGTCGTATTAAAGATTAAAATTCCTAGCATTTTTCTTTCCATTGTCGTCGGTGTCAGATAACAGGCCATGTTTTACTTCACTGAGTAACCTCGTCTCTCAGCTATACAACAATGAAGGCAGGACGGTAGAATTGAAGTGTTGGGCGCATTGTTCTTCTCTTTTCTGATGTTGTCAAGTAGGACTTTCTCCTTGATGGAATGAGCGCGCGCCAACCCGGCCTCTTTGTTGAATGCCTCCAGCTTAATCATGCATCATGCTGATCTCTTAGTCCAGAAAAATTTATTTATGGACTTTTCGTTCTCGCCGTTTAATATTCATTAAACCTCGGCGGATCATTCGATCACAATATCCCCGTCTTAGGAAGAGTGATTCGCAGGACAACTGCCACTGTTTCTCTCGAGCTTTTGTAGCATGCCTTGAAGCAGTGTGTCGTTTTCCGTAGACAACATCATTTCATCAGTGACCATTAGGCGGCCGAATTCTTCGTCGATGATGTTAATTCTACCCTACCAGTTCATCCTCCGAAACACCATTTCTAAACAGGCAGTGAAGAGTTTGGAGGATATAGTGTCCCTTTGTTTCACGCCATTCTGAACCGCAATCCGAGGGTGATGTTGGTGAAACGGCCTCGATTCCCTTCCTTTAGCAGATTGATGTAAAGAGTGCAGATGTCTCTTTCTGCCAGTCCAACCCCCACTGCAGTGCACTAGACAGTGTCGAACGCTTTCTCGTAAGCGCCGAAGACTGTTCACAGAGGGAGCTGGAATTCCCTCTCGCGTTCCACCAGCTGATTTGTGGCAAAGATGTCACCATTGTGCTGCAACTCCCTTGGCATTCCGCCTGTTCTGCTGACTGCTGTTTGTTCAGATTTGTTAACAGTCTTTTGGCGATGATTTTCGTGAAGAGTTTGTACACTTGTTCGAGCAAGCAGATTGGTCGATAGTTCTCCAGATCTTCCTTCTCGCTCTTTTTGAACAAACGATTATTTTTCACTCCTTCCAGTTTTATGATAGCAACTGAACTTCATCACTAGAGTCCTCACACCGTCACCTGCTCCTGTCATTTAAATTTTCATACCTTCTTTCTCTTTAGGCGTTTCCTTCCTTCATTTTCTTTGGGGTATCACGAACTTCGCTCATAAGGAACCTTGGTGCACTTCTTTTTCGCTGTTGGAGTAATGGGAGGGGGTGGGCGTAAGAAAAACCAAAGAACTGAGTTAAGCAATCTTGCAAATAGACTACATCTCTGCTCTTTCAGAAGTTTATATGCTATCTCCGTTCTTTCAAGCCGTGATGGTACAGTGATAAAGAATTAACTCTCCTCCTACACTGTCTGAGCTTTAACGGTTTCCGGCTATTTTCTCTAATTCTCGCACTCAGAGAGTCTTGAGGCCATCCTTCATATTATCTCTAGTCAGCTTGCTAAGAAGAACTATCATCGTGTCCGCCCCATTTCTCTTAATCCTGTTCCGCTTCTTCAGCAAACTCTGCCGCTTTGATGTTACCACGTTGGCTGCTTTACGCAGTGCTTCAGTTTCTCTGTGAACTTCTCGTATTCGTTGCCTGAGCTGCCTTTCCGCTCAAGTCTTCGCTGGAAATGCGAGCTTGGTCATGGTCTGCGACTTGTCATATGTAGTTCCTTCCTATCGGTCTTCTCCTCGAACGATAGCCTGGCACGCACTAGTCTGTAGTCATTGTAGGTGTTAAATGATGTCACTACTGCTATATTTCGGATGTTGCGTGTTTATTGCACAGAACGAGGCCGATCTCGATTTACATTGCCAAATTTGGCGTGGTCCATATCCATCTCCTGTTGGTCTTTTTCCTGAACAGATGTTACCGATGTGCAGGTATTGCATTTCAGCCAGGTCACCAGCCGATCTCCTCCCAGTTTTTCTCCTCGGTCCCATATCTACCGATAATTTTTCCCTGATTCTTCCTCACTCGCCCTTGACGAGGGTATGCATGCACTTTCGGATCAATGCCAGTTTCAGCTCTCGAAAGAATTCTTCTACCTCTTTCTCGTCAGCTGTACTTGTGATAACATAGGTTTTGATGATATTCAGATTCCTCTTAGTGTTCATTTGAACAGTTGGATGTACAACCTGCCAAATCTTATTCATTTCACATGACATGGGATGACTCTGGGGGCCAGCTTTTGCTGACTACAAACCATGTTTTCCTCCCACGTTTCTTACGCCCTCTCCACTTCCTAGCCAAATCGAAGCAACGGCTTTGCATATGCCATACATCACCTTCCGCCGCTGTGTTTCGAAGCGACTAAGGATGTCGCAGGTCATCTGGTCAGTCCTGATGTTTCCTCAATTGCTCGTTTTAACATTTTTTCCAGGCCAATATTCTACAGTAGTAGGTGCAGACGGAGAGATCTTAGCAGCCTCCCGTCAGTCGAATGCTGAAACGCAACCATGGAACAGGTGGAGAGAGGTCCAGAGTGCTGATGGCATTCATTCGTGTTGTCATATCGCGAGAAGTCTTAACAGCCTCTGGCAGGGCTGACGGTGGCCAAGGAAATTTTCGACAGGCAGGACCCCAAATTCCGTCTTGTTTTCTTTCGAGATTGTCTCCTCTAGTCTTGACGAATCGACATCTAACCGCAAGGCAACGATGGCATTGGTTTCGTTTTCTTCAAAAAGGCGGGTTGTTTCTGACTCGACATTAAACCATCATTAGACACCATGACGTTTTCTCTGAAAATCGAACTTGTCGATCTCCAACCCATCCACGCCCAGGTGCTCTCACCTCTACCTGTTCGTTATTGCTTTTTTGTCACAGCTAACCTCTCTTCCTGGAAGTCTTTTCCCTATCAGTAATGCGGGGGGGAGGGAAGCGTTACATGGCCAGCAGCTAGGCACTATGGCTTAATATAATAATCACAGTACAGCTATAATCCAAAGACAGAAACAAAGTAAACTTCGAAATGTTTTCACTGTTAACGAGGCTCTTATTTCACATTTTTCGTTTTTGTGTTTTATATTTTCACCTTTTATTTTGCACCTGAAGAATGATGCGAAATTGAGCAATTGAACAACATTTCAATTTATACTTTGCAAAGGTGCTTCTCCTTACCTGGGTCGCCTTTAAAGATATTAAGTTGAAAGTACGCTTAATTAATCGAGAAAGTGACTGCCTTCAGCAGAATTCTATGAGGTAGTGTTCTCTCCATGAATCTAAGACTCAATAAAACTGACCGCAAAGCTGCATGGAAGTGAGAACGTATTTTCCGTTAAGCCGTAGCAGAGCCAACCTTAATCCAGACGCAGAATCAGGCTACAATCAAATACTCTTACAGCCTCTGGTTGAATGCTATGTATCGTGAACTAAGGGATGTTAATTGTTCCAAGTAAAATGTTTACGATCTCATAGGTTTCTTCAGACAATAGCTACTGAGACGTTGCCAGCCTTCTCACATTGGTATTCTGGAGCAGAGCAGAATATGCATTAGACAGAGGTGCAAATGAGGATCCAAGCTAACCAGCGAGGCATTGTCAATACATCCGATATACCACAATGTAATGGCAACCGGTCTGCTTACCGTTGCAATGCAATAAGGTATCGAACTTTTACAATGATCACAGATCAGCGATGTACTTGGAATAGACTGACCGCAAAACGGACACGACGATTTGTCTTCTTCCTTCTCCTTGTCGATTTGATTCCATTTCCTACAAAGTCGAGGGTTAAGATTTCAAGTACTTCGAACCGAAACTCAGTTGTTTACGGTAAACCTGATAATGTGCTCAATCTTCCGCTTGTACTTTTCGTCTATGTCATTGCGATATTCGGGGCGCATGAGTATAACGCAAAAGTTAAACGCAGACTTCCTCAGGCCAACCTTACTGCACTGAATAACAGCAGAAGTCAGAATTTTTACGGCATCTAAATAGGTAATTCATCCGTTAAATTAAACGAATACAAGTTTCGCTTAAAGAAATGATAAAACGATGAGATCCAGCTTATAACGTATTGTCATAAGCAATGACACACTCGCTGACGAGACCCAATTTACGAGGAGCGATCAAACATCAAACTCCTTTGACAAAAAG